TTCTTTGTTGTTAAGTTGCATAAGCTGTTTATATATTCTGGAAATTAAGCCCTTGTCAGTCTCATCTTTTGCAAATATTTTCTCCCATTCTGTGGGTTGTGTTTTTGTTTTGCTTATGGTTTCCTTTGCTGTGCCAAAGCTTGTAAGTTTAATATTGCTAAAATGGTCATACTACCCAAAGCAATCTACAGATTTAATGTGCTCTCTATCAAATTATCTAGGACATTTTCCATAGCTCTAGAACAAATAATCCTGAAATTTATAGGGAATCACAAAAGACCCAGAATTGCCAAAGCATTACTGAAGAAAAAGAATGAAGCTGGAGGAATAACCCTCTCAGACTTCAGACAATATACTACAGAGCTACCGTCATCAAAATAGCATGGTATTGGTATAAAAACAGACATGGATCAATGGAACAGAATAGAGAGCCCAGAAATAAATCCACAGACCTGTGGTCAATTGATCTTCGACAAAGGAGTCGAGATTATACAGTGGAGAAAAGACAGTCTCTTCAGCAAGTGGTGTGGGGAAAACTGGACAGCAGCATGTAAATCAGCGAAGTTAGAACACTCTCTCACTCCATACACAAAAATAAACTCACAATGGCTTAAAGACTTAAATATAAGACATGATAAATCTCCTAGGAGAAAACATGAGCAAAACATTCGGACATAAATCTTAGCAGTGTTCTCCAAGGGCAGTCTACTCAGGCAATAGAAATAAAGCAAAAATAAACAAATGGGACCTAATTAAACTTAAGCTTTTGCACAGCAAAGGGATCTTCCTTTTCAATGTAGGCATTTATTGCTGTGAACTTCCCTCTTCAAACTTTTGCTGCTGCCCATGAGTTTTGGTACGTTGTGTTTCCATTTTCATTTGTCTTGAAATACTTTATTTTCCTTTAATTTCTCCTTTGATCCACCAGTTGTTCAGGAGAATGCTGTTTAATTTCCATGTATTCATGAAGTTCCTGGTTTTCCTTGTTAACTGATTTCTAGTTCCATACTGACGTCTATTTTGGGGTGAGGCAATAACTCAGTGTGCCACCAGCTGGATAGGGCGGCTGGCTTGGTTCCCTGCACAAGTGAGGCTGGAGCATGGGCTTCACGGTGGCCTGGATTCCCAGGTCCCACTTACTAGGCAGTTGGGACTGGGGCCGCGTGAGCCAGCTCCCAGCCCTGGCAGTGCGGCAGGATGGGACGCAGGGCCTGCAGGCTTGCTGACTGGGGAGCTGAACAGGCACCAGTGTGTGCTGGATTCCTGGTCAGGTGATGCCACGGGTTTTGCTCTGCAGACAGAGCAGACAGGCTGTGCTCTCTGGTCCAGCGTTGCCATGAGCGGGGCTGCTGCTGGCTCCGCAGCTTCCCTGGTTGGGCGTCGGAAGGCTGGCTTCAGTAGTACGTGCTGCTGTGAAGCAGTTCCCCTTCCTGGGAGAAGCAGCTCGGTGGCTGCTACAGCATTGTCTGGGCATTGACTCAGGTGCACCTGTGCCCCACATGCCTTGTTGGGACAGAGCCCCTGGCTTCGCTCTGGGGACATCAGCTCTGCCTGCCCGCCAGGGAGCTGCTGGCTCGCACAGCTTCCAGGCTTTCTCAGCAGGCTGTCAGGTGGGGCTGGGGTCCAGCAGTGCCGCTCCGGGAGGTCTGGGAGGGCCCGCACTTCAGGCAACTCCCCAGTTTTTCCCTTCGCCCCCACCCCAGACCAGGGTTTGGGGGAGGAGTGGTCCACGGCAGGTGGAGCTGTGACTCAGCAGTTGTACTGGGTCACGGCCGAACTTGTTTGGGGACCCAAATGAGGCAGACCTGCACCAGTTCCTGGGTCAGATCTCATCCCTGACTCAGGGCTGCGGGGACGGAGGCTGCGGGGTGGGCTCTGCAGTGGGGAGCTCAGGCTCCCGAGGCCTGGTTGGGGGAGGCCCCACCGTCTTG